CATGCATGGCTATGACATCAGGTAAGTGTCCACTGGGACCTAAGGGCAGAGCCCGCCACTCAGGAGAGGTGGGGGGGTGGTAAACAAGCGAGGGCTACTTAAGAAAGGAGCTTCCCTGAAATCCAGGTGGCTTTCCTGGAAGAGGCAGCAGTGAGGGAGGAGGGCCACCAGCAGAAGGTGGGGCAAGTGCTGAGGCGGTGGCCGGGGGGCAGGGTCCCACGCCCCTTTACAGCTTCCAAGATCTCTTTGTCCCAGGGTCCTGCCCTGAGCCCCTGGACAGCTCTGGAGTCATCAGTGGGATGGCATCATCCCTCACAGATGGGGAGACCGAGGCCTGGGGCAGGGAGGGAGCAGGGCTGAGCTGGGAAAATTGGTGCTGACTGTGTGTGCCGCGGCTTGCACCCAGGCAGCCCTGGCTGTCCCGTTCAAATCGTACACTGACAAAGAAGGTGCAAAATGGATCTGCCCAGCCTGCCCAGCTCCTGACCCGGGGCCTAGTCCTACACTCAGCAGGCAGGATGTTTGCTCATGGGCTGGCAGAGGCCCTGAGGCGGCCCCTGGCAAGTTGGGAACAGGCCTGGGCCTCCCTGGGTCAGCTATCTTCCTTCCATCCCTGGGACTTTGGCGGGAGTGTGCCATGGGCTGCTCTGGGGCTGGGAGCCAAGGAGATAGATGGGGAGCCCCTGAGAGCTGGAGTACAGCAGGGGGAGGAGCACCCACCCTGTTGGTCCCAGACCCCTGCCAAGCAGCCTGGCTGGTGGCACCCAGGACACATAGGCTAATGCTGTCCTCAGCCCAGCCATCACTGATGGGGGCTTCCAAACCCCTTCAGTGTGCCAGGGTGGACGGCTGCCACCAGCAGGACCAGCCACCGGCCCCCAGGGGCTATAGCACTCATGTGATGCTCTGCTACTTCGGGCCTGTGCCCGGGGACAGACATAAGACACAGACCCTGCAGGAGAGAGACACAGCAAGGAGAGGAAGGAGGTGCCTGAGAGAGTCGCTGAAAGACCCAGGAAAGAAAGTGAACAGAGCACGCCGGCACCAGAACGGAGCTTTCCCCTGCCCAGAGACTCCTGATTGCTCCCCTCAGGCCAGAGCCAGAACACGCCTGGGTCGTCCTTCATCTTACACATGGGAGACACGCACAGCGAGGGGGTGTCCCGGGAGACCAGGCAGCCAGAGCCCTCCCTGGGTCCAGGGCCTGTCTGGCCTCCAGGCTGCGCATGAGGGTCCCAGGGCTGGCTGGGCACCACGCAGCTTCCAGGCCGTGGCAGCTGCCCTGCGCGTGAGTTCCCTTTGAGATCAGATAAGAGGCAGTCACCCCAGCCCCACATCTGTCAGCTGCATGGCCCTTGGTCAGTCCCTCCTCTTCTCTGAGCCTCAGTTTTGCCATCTGGAAAATGGGAACAATGTACCACCTTCTTAGAGTGCACTTGAGGCTCATGCGTGTGGACGCTTGGCCCAGTACCCAACAGAGGCAGAGCCAGAATGTAGGCTGGGCTATGTTTTCAGGGAAATTCCTTGGGGACCGGGTGAGCCAGGGAACAGTAGCTCTTTATTTAAGTGAAGAGGGTGGCCCGGGCCCACCTGGTCCCTCTGCCCACTTACTCACAGGCAGAACTGGCAGCTGGGCCCCTGTACGTCACTCGCTGCTCCTGCCGCCCGATGTGCACCTCACTGCTGCCTCCCAGGAATCCTCCCAGACCCTCACTGGCTCCATTACTCCCTCCTTCAGCTCCTGGTCAGCATAGCCCAGCACAGGTGTGGGCTGGCTTTGCCGAGGCCTTGCCGTGTGACCGTGAACACCTGTGAGACCCTTCCGAGCCTCAGTTTCCCTCTCACGTGAAAGAGTTAACCTTGGGTCCCGTGCAGAAGGCAGCTCTGCGGACAGAGAGGGATTTCCTCCCACGGCAGCACTCAGCTCTGGGCCTGCGCTGGCGCTGGGGGTCATGAGCAACAGCAGCTGTTAATGATAATATCATTAATAATAATCCTCACGTCTGCACCTCTACTCTCCACCCGTCCAGATCAGAAAATCCTGCTTGCTAGAATTACGTGCAGACTAAGAATCAGCTCTGACAGGTGCCACTGAGGACAGAAACGCCTCTGATGTGGCACCTGAGGCAGGCCTTGAGTGATGAATGAGGTTCCAGCAGGTGGAGCACGAGGGGGAGGTGGAGCACGAGGGGGAGGTGGGGCCCTGGGAAAGCCGGGGGCTGAGAGGGAGGTTTGTGTGGGAGGTGGCTGCAGGGCCCTGATGTAGCTGGGCCCGGGTCTCACTCCAGCCAGCAGCTCCACATTGTCTGATTCGGGAGTGGCGGCTGGTCTGAGGAGACCAGCGAACAAGCCGTGGGGCACTGGCTGCTCTGCCCACTCAGGGGCAGCAGAGGCCTAGGCCACAGGTGCGGCCACAGAGCTCCATAGCTCCATGAGAAATAGCGTGGGGCCTGCCGGGCTGGCGCTGGACACCACCAGGGGCTGCAGTGGCTGCACACGGTCCCCAGCCTCGAAGGAACAAACCCAAAACTATGGCAGCCGCATCGTCTCTGGTCCCAGGGGCTGGATTCTGCAGCTGCTCCCCAGACACAGCTGGGATTCGTCCCCAGAGACTCTGCACCTCTTGGGTCCCTGGTCCGACCCACAGACAAGGCCCAGCTTTGGAATCACAGACTTGGGGGTCCCTGATGGGACAGGCGGCCACCCTTGCCCCCACTCCCCTGCTGGCGGGTGGAAAGGGGGGGGTCCCTTGCCGAGGAGGGGGACACAGGTGTTCTGATGCATTACCAGGCTAAACTTTAAAGACCCTTTATATGGACCCTCCCCAGAGCATTCTGGGGATCTAAGCCCACCCCTCCCAGGGGCTGCCCCCTCTGCAGTCATGGGGTGGGGTGCCACGGCTCCCCAGCACTGGAACCTAGGCAGCAGACAGCAATGCGTGGAGAGCGAGGCCGGAGCCCCATGCCCCCGTGGGGGATGAGAGCCTCGGCTGGGCCCTCTGTCCGCAGTGCCCACTCACTGAGGGCCACCAGGGTGGGGTGACTCTGGGGGAGAAAGCCAGGCTCACCCAGGTGTGGGGCGAATGGAGAGTCGGGGGCCTGCTCAATGCTGAGCCACAAAGGAGACTCTGGTGGAGGGGTCCAGGGTCCAGGCTTGCCCTGGGTCCTAGGCCAGCCTTTCCCTGACGGGCCGTCCCCAAAGCAGTGACCCGTGCCCCTGTCTGCGGCAGGCGCTTCCATCACTCGCTCACGGACCACCCCCGCTGGATCCGAGAGCGAAGCCATGAGTCCTACGCCAAGAACTACTCTGTTGTCTTCCCCCACGATGAGCCGCTGGCCGGGCGCAACATGAGGAGAGACCCGCTGCACGAGGTGACGCTCTACAGCTCCTGCTGGGGGCCGGCAGCTAGGGTCTGGGACGTCCTCAGGGCAGCAGGATGACAGAAAATGCAAGGCATACCCCAACCGCAGGTCAGGCACAGTGACAAAGTGTCTGTCATTCCCCAGGTAGTAACCCAGCACCCCCATGTGTTGGGCGCAGTGCTCAGGGCCGGGGACGTTAGGGAATAAAGTGGAAATGGCTCCCTCCCACCCAGGGGGCTTCCGTTCTAGTGGAGAAGCAGGAACACGCACCCAGGAACCGCCCCCCGCCAACTGCTGGCAGCAACGCCAACAGGGCAGGGGTCCTGGGGGGCGGAGTCTTGTGGGTGTATGCAGTCATATGTGGGGGGAGCAGCCAGAACACGGCATACGTGGGAGAGGGGCTCCTGCTTGTAGAGTCTGCTGCTACCCTGGTGAGTTCCAACTCACCCATTCAGTGAAACCCACTGTCAGGTGCCCCTTTCTCAGGTCTGCCCCTGTGCCCTCCCCTGGGTCCCCAAAGACCCAGGAGCTCCTTCCCTGCGTTCCCAGGCCCTGTTTCCATTCCTTCCCCCTCCCCGGCCATCTTGTGCTGGATGCTTTGCTTGCTGGGGTACAGGGGCTATGTCCTGAGCACTGGGGTGATTGGGGGATGATTACTGAACAGATGGATAGGCAGGGAGGCAAGAGGGGGCAGGCTCAGGAAGCAGGTGGCGGTTTAAACTGGAGAAGGGGCCTCCCTCACCTGAAACTCCAGTGTCTGGCCCCATGAGAGATCCCAGTATTAGCTGCACCTCCTGGGGAGAGCCCAGAGTGGTCAGAGGGCTGGCTCCCAGACTGCCCTGGCCCTTTGGTCTGGCTTGGTGGACCAGCTACGATCTGAGGCCACACACGGCCCTGGGGTCTCCCTAGCATGCCCCCGGGCCTATGATCAGTAATCACCCCCTTGCCCGTCCTGACAGTTCAGAAGCCGCCCTGGGTGAATGCAGGGTTTGCTCCCCTTGCAGTCAGCTCAGACGAATTCCTCAGAACTGAGCAGCTCTACCAAAGAAACTTGGCAAGGGCTGAAGCACACCCCTGCCCCCCAGGGAAATCTTCGTTCACCCACGCCTCGACTTCCCTTCTTAGTTAACAGCCTTCTTGCGACACTTGACAGCCGCTTGTTTTCTTTCTTTCTTTTATAAAGAGGGGAGCCTGCCCTCTCTTAATGGGCTCTTGAGATGAACAGTTTCCATCCTTGGAAAGGTGGCCCATGGGATGTCCCCATTGTTCACTGAGAGGTGGGTGGATCTTGTGCCCTCAATTGCTGCCCCCTCGGAATCCCAGGTGGGCGGGGAGGACATGTCCATGTCACTGATGAATGCTGTGGCCTTGGGCGTGCCTCCTCCTTCTCAGGACCTCGGGGATGGAGGGGAGGGCAGGTGCCATTGGGACAGGCCCTCAGCTGCCCATCTGGAACCAGATGCGGCCCCCGAGGCCCTCTCAGCCCTGGGCTTGGGTCCTCATTCCAGTCAGAGGGGGTGGCCCCTGGGTAGGGGCCCTTCCAAACCCGAGAGTGGGTATTCTTTTTTTTCCCAAACCAAATTTATTTTTAAAGAAATCTCCCACTCTGTTTCTCTAGTGTGTTCATTGCATTCGTTGTTGTGATTAAGTAGGCAGATCTTGAAATGAGCCATTTTAACTGCTCTGAAGTGTATAATTCGGTGGTATTAAGTGCATTTGCAGTGCTGTGCAACCATTCCCACTATCCAGTTCCAAAACATGCTCATCACCCCACAGGGAAACACCATCCCCCGTAAACAGCCCTTCCTCATCTCCCTCCCGCCAGCCCTGGCAACCACTAAGCTGCTTTCGGTCTCTATGGATTTGCCTGTTCAGGTCACTTCGTATGCAGGGAATCATCCAATACATGACCTTTTGTGTCCGGCTTCATTCCTTGAGCATGTTTTCAAGGTTCATCCATGTCATAAAACGTGTCCAAATGTCGTTGCTTTTTATGGCTGAATAATATTCCACGGTGTAGGCAGACCTGCTTTCTCGATTCGCTCATCCGCTGAGGGCCACGTGGGTTCTCTCCCCTGTTTGGTGGTTGTGCATAGAGCTCAGTGAACATGCGTGAACAGAATTTGTTTGCAACCCTCCTCTCGGTTCTCTTGTGCGTACTTGGGAGTGGAATTGCTGGGTCGTATGGTGCATCTTTCCGCGAGGGCAGCTACAGCAAAAGGCCACAGGTGGGGAGGCTTCAACAGACCTTTTTTTCTCACATTTCTGGAGACTAGGAGGTCCAAGATCAAGGTGTCGGCCGATGGCTTCCTGGAGAGGGCTCTCCTGGCTCGTAGTCGGCCACCTTCTCACTGTCCTCATGCAGCGGGGAGAGGGCCCTGGCGTCACTTCCTCCTCCAATAAGGGCTCCAGCTGTATGGGATTAGGACCCACCCTGATGATTTCACTTAACCTAAAGATCCCATCTCCAAATACAGTCACGTCGGTGATTTCACTTAACCTAAAGATCCCATCTCCAAATACAGTCACGTCGGGGTTAGGGCTTTGACATATGAATTTTTGTGGGGATGGGATTCCGTCCTTAGCAGATGGTAATTCTATAGAAGAGGGTTCTCAGGGCAAGGGAAGATCAGGGCAGGTGGTAATTCTACAGATGAGGGTTATCGGGGCCAGGGCAGATGGGGCAGGTGCTATTCTATAGATGGGGGTTCTCAGGACGAGGGCAGATAGAGGAAGGTGATATTTCTACAGATGGAGGTTCTCAGGGTGAGGGCAGGTGGGGCAGGTGGTAAGTCTATAGATGAGATTCCTGGGGCAAGGGCCGATCAGGGCAGATAATTCTATAGCTGGGGTTTTGGGGGCAAGGGCAGATGGGGGCAGGTGGTAATTCTATAGATAGGGTTCTCAGGGCAAGGGCAGACGAGGCAAGTGGTAATTCTATGCATAGGGGTTCTCAGGGTGAGGCAGTGAGGGTAGCTGCAAACACTGGGCTGGGGACCTGGTTCTAAGAGTCAGGGCCTCCTTGCTCTCCGCACCTTGGGTTTAAAGTCGAGGATGTGGCACTCTGCCCTGTGCAGGGGTATCCGGCCCTTTGTGACAGGTGCCTGTTCCCCATTCCTGCTCAGGAACTCCTCGGACAAGGCTGCGTGTTCCAGGAGCGGCATGGCTGGGAGCGACCGGGATGGTTTCATCCCCAAGGCCCAGCTCCGGTGAGTAGCGCCTGCTGGGCTGTGCTGCCGGGAGGCCCTGCCCTGTCAACCCCCTTGCCCCTATGCGTACCCCGTCCTTGCCCCTCCATGTAGCCCGCCTCCCCAGGTGGCTCCACTGTGGTGATCAGTTATTCTGCACATGGGAAGCCGAGCCCCACCGACCTGCCCCCAAGGCTCGGTGCATTCTTTGTGCCATTCACGCAGACCCCACTCCTCGTCCGCCACCGCCAGGCCGTCCGTGGCCTAAGTGGTAAGGGCTGTGGGCAGAGCAGAAGGGGTGTCCCGCGGTGGGGAGACAGCAATAAGACTCCTCAGGTTGCAGGAGGAATGGAGCGTCTTCTCCTAATTCTGTGCATCTATTTTTGGCCGCTCCGACGGTTGGTTTATGTCCGTACGAGGGCGGGCAGTGGGAGGGTTCATGCACCCAGGGTGCTCTGTTTCCCAGTGGAGGTTTCACAGTGGCCTGGACTCTGGGCATCCTCTGGGGCCTCCCACGGACCTGGGTCCTGAGAGAGAGGAACAAAGGCAGTCCTGCTGTGAAACCTGGGACCCAGGCACTCGGGAGCAGGCGATGCGAGGCCTTAAGGCCAGCTGAGGGGTAGCATTTGGTCCAGATTTACAGAAATCAAAATCCCCTTCCCGGGGTTGCGTCTCACCAGTCCCCTCTGGTGCACCCACCTTCCATCCCCATGGCAACCCACAGCCCAGGACAGGTTCCAGAGCTCCAGGGCATCTGGAGGGGAGACGGGAGCCAGAGCTGGCTAATGGGGCCTCGACTCTGGGGTCAGAGTCTCGCCAGTCATCGTCTCTTCTCCTGCTGGCCCCTGGGGACATGCAATCCTCATGAACCCTGCGGGGAGGAGGGGGTCTGGGCAGACCCTTTCTTAAAGCGCAGCCCACTGTGTTCCAGTCAGATCTGGCCCTGGAAGCCCCTCTCCCCTCTCCTTGGGCAAGAAGAGGAGAGGAGAGAGTCAGGAACACACCCCAGGTCCCAAGATAGGCAGATTTTGCACCCCCACCCGGGAGCCAGCCTGGGTGTCCAGGACACCTTGGCAGGGCTGCAGTGGGTGGGATGTCCCTGCTGGGGAGGGAGAGGACTCCACACGGAGATGCCAGCAAACCCTTACTCCTTTACAACCTCACACTGGCTCCCACCTGTGTGTGAAGAGCAGGTGAGGCTTGGGCGGGCCGGCAGGGCTGGCGGCCCTGGGAGGCAAGAATTGCCCGCACCTGCATTCACAGCTGTGCCGTGCCAGCAGTTAGGAGGGCACGTGGGGGGCTTTCTGCAGGAGCAGAGGCCAGGGAGGGGCATGGGGCTGTGGGGTGTCTGAGAGAGAGGCAGATTCCAGGGAGGCCAAGGCCATGGCAGAGAAGCTGGACTCTGGAGCCCACGCACCTGCCTGGCTTCATGCCACTGCCCCGTCTGGGACTTGTCTGTGCCCTTGGGCGAGATGTAACTTCTCTGCGCCTCAGTTTCCTCATCTGTAGAAAGGGGCACCCCTGGTAGGAGCATAAGGCACTTCCCGCAGGGCCTCGCCCAGAGCAGGAGCTGGGCCTGGGATTGTGGTGGCCCCAGGGAGCAGCCCTGGCTGAGGTCCTGAGTAACCGCTTCTCCCTGTCATTCCCCACCTTGGGTGCATCCAGCTTCTCCTCCAGCCTCCTGGGCCCTGGCTGGGCTCTCAGACCCACCAGGGAACGCTGCTGCCTCCTTTATGCTGCTGTTTTGCCTGGACCTCATGGGAGCCCCCTGCCCGTGTCCACAACGCACCGGCACTTACTGCAGGCCTCTCCGAGGGCAGGGCCAGGCCTGTCTCCATCACAGCCCCAGAGGGACCCCGCTCTGGGAAGGGAAGCCAGGAAGGACCAGAGAGGGAGGCTGAGGACCACGTCTTTTCTTCCCAGGTCCTCGAGTACGACTACTACGGGGCTTACGGAAGCCGCACGCACGAGGACTACGCCTACCGCAGGCTGCTGGCGGAGGAGTACACCTTCGACTTCCCGCCCCACCACGAGACGGTGCGTAGCTGGGGGTGCACCGCAGGGGTCCGTCTCTCTCCCTGTCCCTCAGATGAGCCTCCCATCGCGCAGGCCCTAGTCTGGCCCTGCGGGGGGTCCCCTCCCCCAGGAGTCTCTTCAGGCTCGGCATTCATGCTTTTTTCGGCTGACTCCATTTTGAGGAGGAATCATGCGTTTTCCTCTCCCCGCCCCTCCCTCTGTACCGAGATTTTGCCAGCAGCCAGGCCTGAGCGGAAGTGGTGCTGCTGGGGATGGGGTGAGGTGGGGGCTGAGACTACGGGCTGGGGCCCGGCGGGGCTGCACCGCTCTGAGCCTCCCCCTCCCGCTCTCCGGAGCTGCTCTGAGGCTGGCATGAGATGTGGTGGGGGAAGGGGTTTCTCCTTCCCGGAAGCCAGCGCAGAGCAGAGCCAGGACAAGGTGACCGGAGGCTCCTGGGCATCAGGCCCCATATGGGCCCCTCCAAGAGACAAGCAGAGGGAACCAGAGCCGGGAGGGCCGTGGCCTGGAGTCTGCTTGCTGTTCCTCTTGCTCCAAAGTGGGCAGGCGAGGCTGGTCACACGGGGCAGCTGGCAGCCTGTCACCCCTGCCTGGGGACCTGGCTCCCACGTGCAGGGGGTGGAGGTGAGGAGTCTTGGGGGGTCTTCTCCCCTGCAGCAGCCTGCACCACACAGGGGCGTTCTCCCTGGCAGCTGTCCCAGAAGGAGCGAGGCCAGCGTCTGCCCTGGCTCGCCCAGCCGTGTGGTCAAGTGCTCACAGGTGGAGCACAGCTCTTGTCCCTGTGCCACCCCAGGGAGACGCGTGACATCTCATCGCAAATCTGACATAGGAGCAGAGCCCAGGGACAGCTTAGAAGGCATCCATGAGGGGGTTCCTTCCTGGGGTCTCTGGGACAGTCACAAGCCTGGCTTCGGTAGGGTCTGACCCTGGGGTCGCCCGTTGCCTTGAAGGGCCCAGCTTGGGTTCATGCTTTGCTGTCAGTGCCTTGACATTCTTCATGGTCTTTGAACAAGGGCCCCACTGGGTCCCGCACTGGGTTCTGTAGCCAGTCCCGAAGGGAAGAAACCGTTCATTTCCACCATCTCCCCCAAAGCTTGCTCTAGTGGCAGAACATCTGTTCAAGGCGTCGGAAGAGGGGGCTCCTACAGGAAGGAGGAGGCGTGTGTGTCATGAAACGCCCGAGCAGCAGGGCCGGCTCAGTGCCCGAGTCCCTCGTCGCTGCCTCCCGGCGAGTGCTCGGGGCTCCGTCTGGCACCTCCGCACCCACAGCTTCTAAAGCCTGTGGGACTCTGGCCCTCGAGGATGTGGGAGCTCGGGGGAGATGCCAACTTGGCTTTGTGGCTTCATCCAGCCTCCGCAAACATGCCTGAAGCCGTCCTAAAGCACGAAACGCGTGCTTGTTCTTGGCGCTGGCAGCTTCCCCGGCCCGCTAGAGGAGCCCAGTGCGGGAGACTGCTGAGGGTTTTGGTCTGCAGCCCCAGTGGCATCAGCAAAGGCACAGCAGAAACCAACAAAGGGGAACCCTGTCCTGAAGGACAGTGATGCCTGCCGGGGCTGGAGAAGCCATGGAGAGCTCAGGAGGCAGACGGTCCCTGTGGTGTGCTGGTAACAGCTTAACAACCAGCTCTCTGGGGCAGTGGGGAGGAAGCTGGCTCTGCAGCATTGGCCAATTTCCCTGATGTACATACTTTCTCCATGGCTGATTTCAATCCAGTCTGCCAATGAGGCGTCACTGAATGCAGAGCTGGGCAGGGTTCTGCGTGACCAGCTCTCAGGGTCAGTGTACCCCTGCACAGCCTGGTTGGACCGTAGCTCTGCCACTGCCCGGCTGTGCCACCATCCCTGGCCTCCCTGAGTGCATGAGGGGTAATGTGAGTTCCCTTGTGGAAACTCATAGGGAGTTTGGGAGGAGATGAAACAGCTTCCCGACACACGGCAACTGTTCAGGAAGCTGTGGTTGTTGCTGTCATGATTATTTTTTTCCCCATAATAACAATGAGGTGGGCACATCTGCTCAGCAAGGGGGGCATGCTGAGCCCTGAAGGGGAAGACCAAGTAGAAAATACAGTGAAGAATAGAAGACTCTGAAAATCTCACCCAGGCATTTGTAAATCTGGGGAAGGAAATAGGGAGTGATGGGGTGTGTGTGTGTGTGTGTGTGTGTGTGTGTATTTTTTAAAAAACAGCTTTATTGAGATCTAATTCACATACTATATAATTTATTCATTTAAAGGGTACAACTCAATGTTTTTTAGTGAGTTCACAGGGTTGTGCAACCATCACCACGATCTAGTTTTAGAACTTTTTAATCTCCCAGCAAAAAAAGATACCCCATACCCCACCCTATCTCTAACCCAGGGTAACCCTACTCTACTTTCTGTCTCTGTAGATATATCTAGCTTGTATATTTCACACAAATAGAATCATAAAATATGTGTCCTTTTGTGATCAACTTCTTCCGCTTAGTGTGATAGTCTCAAGGTACATCCATGTTGTAGTGTGTGTCAGCATTTCATTCCTCTTTTTTTTTGAGATGGAGTCTTGCTCTGTTGCCCAGGCTGGAGTGCCGTGGTGCACTCTCGGCTCACTGCAACCTCCACCTCCCAGGTTCAAGCAATTCTCCTGCCTCAGCCTCCCAAGTAGCTGGGATTACAGGCACCTGCCACCACGCCCAACTAATTTTTGTATTTTTAGGAGAGATGGGGTTTTGCCGTTTTGGCCAGGCTGGTCTCGAACTCCTGACCTCAGGTGATCCACCTGCCTTGGCCTCCCAAAGTGCTGGGATTATAGGCATGAGCCACCAGACCCTGCCACTTCATTCCTTTTTATCCCAATCATATTCCATTGTATGGACCCATCATATTTTACTTATCCATTGATTCATTGGTGGACATCGGAGTTGTTTTCACTTTTGAATTCCTATGAGCAGTGCTGCTGTGAACATCCATGTACCAGGTGTTGTATGCATGTATGTTATCATTTCTCATGGGTGTGTAACTAGGCCTGGGTCAAGTGGTATCCCTGTTTAACATTTTGAGGGAATGCCAACTGTTCTCCAAAGTAGCTGTACCACATTACATTCCCCACCACAGTGCAAGAGGGTTCCAGTGTCTCCACATCGTCGCCAACACTCATTATCTGACTTTTTGATTCTAGCCATCCTGGTGGGTGTGAAATGGCATTTCATTATGGTTTTGATTTGCATTTCTGGAACAACTAATGATGTTGAGCACATTTTCATGGGCCTGTTGTCCACTTGCATATATTCTATGGAGAAATGTCTGTTCAGATCCTTTGTCCCTTTTAAAATTGGATTATTTGTCTTGCTCCTCCTCCTCCTCCTCCCCCCCGTCCTTCTTTCTCCTTCTCCTTCTTCTTCTTCTTTCTTCTTCTCCTCCTCCTCCTCCTCCTCCTCCTCCTCCTCCTCCTCTTATTTGAGATGGAGTTTCACTCTTGTTGCCCAGGCTGGAGTGCAATGACGTGATCTCGGCTCACTGCAACCTCTGCCTCCCAGGTTCAAGCAATGCTGCTGCCTCAGCCTCCCGAGTAGCTGGGATCACAGGCGTGTACCACCATATCCAGCTAATTTTGTATTTTTAATAGAGATGGGGTTTCTCCATGTTGGCCAGGCTGGTCTTGAACTCCTGACCTCAGGTGATCTGCCTGCCTCGGCCTCCCAAAGTGCTGGGATTACAGGCATGGGCCACCGCACCCGACTGTCTTTTTATTGTTGGGTTGCAAATGTTTTTATGTAGTTTAGATACAAGTCCCTTATCAGATCTGTAATGTGCACACACTCTCCGCATCCTGTGGTTGTCCTATCTCTTCCTTGCTGGCATTGTTTCCAGCTTTTTAAAATGTTGGTGCTGTCCAGTTCGTCTCTATATTTTTCTAGGGTCCATGAAAATTAATTTTTGTGCATGGTGTGAGGTCGGGTCCAGCCACATTCTTTTGCATGTGGCTACCCAGTTGGCCCAGCACTAGCTGTTGAAAAGATTGCTCTCCCTTTGGAATTGTCTTGGCACCCCTAGTTGGCACCCCTAGTTAGCACCCCTAGTTGAAAATCAATTGACTGTAAAGATGAGGGCTTATTGCTGGACTCTGAGTCCTATTCCACTGATCTGTAGGTCTATTCTTATTTAGTACCTCACTGTCTTGATTATGTAGCTTTGTCTTTTAATAGCAAGTTTGGAATCAAGAAGTGTGAATTCTGCAACTTTATTTTTCCTTTTCAATATTATTTTGAGTATTCTTGGCCCCTTTGAATCTCCATGTGAATTTTAGGATTGGCTAGTCAATTTCTGCAAAGAAACCAGCTGAGAATTTTGATAGGAACTGTGTTAGGTCTGTAGATCCGTTTGGGGTTTATTGTCATTTCAACAATAGTAAGTCTTTTGTTTCATGAACATGGGATGTCTTTCCACTTATTTAGGTCTTCTTTCATTTATTTAAAAAAATTTAGGTTTTAGGATATAAGTTTTGGACTTTTAAATTAAATTTATTCCTAAGCATTTTATTATCTTGATGATACTATAAATAGAATTTTTTAAAACTTCCTTTTGAGATTGTTCATTGCTAATATAGAAATACAATAGTTTTTTGTATGTTTTTTATATTGACCTTCTATCTTGCAACCTTGTTAAACTATTTTATTAGTTCTAGCAGTTTTTTTTTTTTTTTTTTTTTTTTAGTGGATTCCTTAGGATTTCCTACATACAAGATACTGTAATTGGCAGATAGGGATGTTTTTATTTCTTCTTTTCTGATCTGGATGCCTCTTATTTTTCTTTTCCTGCCTAATTGCCCTGGCTAGAGCTTCCAGTACAATGTTGAATAGAATGGTAAGAATGGACCCCCATCTTGTTCCTGATCTTTCATCATGAAGTATCATGTTTGCTATGTGATTTTTGTAGGTGTCTTTCATCAGGTGAGGGAAGCTCCCTTATATTCCTAGTTTGTTGTGCGTTTTTATCATGAACAGGTAAATTTTGTCAAATACTTTTCTGTATCTATTGGAGGATCAGATGGTTTTGTCCTTTGTTCTCTTAATATGTTGCATTACATCAATTGATTTTTGAATGTTAAACCAACCTCACGTTCCTGGGACCAATCCCATTGATCGTGGTGTGTAATCTCTTCCTATGTTGTTGGATTTGATTTGCTAGTATTTTATTGAGGATTTTTTTTGCGTGTGTCTATATTTGTAAGAAATATTGGTCTGTAGCTTTTTTATAATATCTTTTTCTGCTTTTGGCATCAGGGTAATGCTGGCCTCCTAGAGTGAATTGGCAAGTATTTCCTATTCATATTTTTTGGAAGAGTTTGGGAAAAATGGGTATTAGTTCTTCTTTGACTGTTTGGTAAAATTCATCAGGGAAGCCATCTGGACCTGGGATTATGGAAAATTTTTCAATGACAAATTCCATCTCTTTTTTGTTTTAGTTCTATTAAGATTTGTCATGTCTTCATTCTGTTTCAGTAATTTGTGTGTTTCTAGGAATTTGTCCATTTCGTGTCTAGTCTGTTGGCATTCGGTCGTTCATAGAGTTCCCTCAGGATCCCTTTTATTTCTCTAGGGTAGGCTTGATATCCTCTCTTTCATTCCTGATTTTAGCACTTTGAGTCCTCTCATTTTCTCTGTCACTCTAGCTAGAAGTTTGTCAATTTTGTTGACCTTTTCAAACATCAACTTTTTGTTTTGCTGTTTTTTTCTATTTTTCTATTCTTATTTGTTTCTGTTCTAACATTTCATTCCTTCTGCTTGCTTTGGGTTTAATTATACTCTTTTTCTGGTGCCTCAAAGTGGAAGATCAGGCTATTGATTTGAGGTCTTCTTTTGTAATACAAGCACATACAAGCAGAAATTTCTCCGTGAGCATTGCTTTAGCTGCATCTCATAAGTGGTTTTGTGTTGTGCTTTCATTTTCATTTAATTCAGTAACTTCTAATTCCCTTTGTGAATCTTTGATCCATTGGTTCTTTAGCAGTGTGTTGTATAATTTCCACTTATTTGTGAATTTTCCAATTTTTCTTCAGCTACTGATTTCTAATTTAATTACATCTTGGTCAGAGGACATCCTTTATATGATTTCAACCTTTTTGAATGTATTGAGCCTTGTTTTGTGGCTTAGCATATAATCTATCCTGGGGAGCATGTTCTGTGCTTGAGAAGCATGTGTCACAGTGTGCACCTGAGCTGAGAAGGGCTTGGTTGGGCTGGAAGAGAGGGAGGAGAGGCTCAGTACAGGTGTGTTGGAAAGAGCCCCCGTTCTCCACGTTCTTGAGGAAGAAGCACACCCCAAAGGCCCCCGCGGCATTCCCACCTCCCTGGAACTTTTCAGATCAAGAAGGAGTGTCTGGCCTGCAGAGGGGCTGCCGCTGTATTTGACATGTCCTACTTTGGGAAGTTCTACCTGGTGGGACTGGATGCAAGGAAGGCTGCCGACTGGCTGTTCTCCGCAGATGTCAGCCGACCTCCAGGTATGGAGTCTGGGGTTGGAACATATGTTCCTGTCACTCCATGGGCATAGCTTCAGGCACTGAGATGAACTGGCAAGCCACCCAGTCCCCTCGGGCACCCTGAGCACACTGCTCCTTGACCTCACCTGGCCTTGGGCCCCCTTGTCCGGCCCCGTTTGCCCCATCCCAGACCCCAGGCCCTCATTACTTTCCTCCACCTCTCCCTCCCACCCTCCTTCTCCTCCCCACCTCTGGCTTCCTCTCTACTCTATTCCAGACAGGATGTGTGGCAGTTGGCCCTCAGCCACCCCTCTCCTGGGACTGGGAGGCCCAGTCCCCGTCATGCTCTCACAGGTGGGATTGCCAGAATTAAATAGAAACACAGGATGCTCAGCTACATTGGAATGTTGGATACATAATGACTCATTTTTAATGTAAGTATGTCCCAAGCCATATTTGGGACATACTTGGGATCTTCATCTGCCTTTTCGTCACCCACCCACCCAAAAGCTTATGCATCCCCATCTTCATGAGTGTCCAAGGCTGCCAGAACAGAGGATCACAAACCCGGTGGCTTAAAACAACTGCAATTTATTGTCACGGTTGTGGAAACTGGAGGTCACAATGAGGGTGTCTGTACCTGACACTCTGCAGAGGACCCTTCCTTGCTCTTCCAGCTGCTGGTGGTGGCAGGGAATCTTGGCCTTCCTTGGCGTGCAGCTGCGTCACTGCAGTCTCTGCCTGTGTCACAAGGCCTTCTCCAGGTGTTCTCTTTTTTGTGTGTGTGTGTGTGTGTGTGTGTGTGTGGTTTTTTTTTTTTTCCCCGAGATGGAGACTCGCTCTGTCGCTCAGACTGGAGTGCAATGGCGTGATCTCGGCTCACTGCAACCTCCACCTCCTGGGTCCAAGTGATTCCCATGCCTCAGCCTCCTGAGTAGCTGGGATTACAGGTGCCCACCACCACGCCCAGCTAATTTTTTGTATTTTTAGTAGAGACAGGGTTTCGCCATGTTGGCCAGGCTGATCTGAAACTCCTGACCTCAGGTGATCCTCCCGCTTCGGCCTCCCAAAGTGCTGGGATTACAGGCGTGAGTCACCGCGCCCAGCCGTGTTCTCCTCTTATAAGGACAGCAGTCAGATTAGATGAGGACCCACACTAACGACCTCACTTTAACCTGATCACATATCCAAAGACCCCATTTCCAAATAAGGTCACATTCGCAGTCCTGGGGTGAGGACTTTCACGTATCTTTTAGGGGGGACACAATTCAACCCCTAACATCATCTCTCCAGCCAGCCAACCAACAAACTCACTCCCCAGACTCCTGAGCACCTGCTGCTCACCTCCCATTAATCCAGCCACCCACTCAGTCTTCCATCCACCCATCTGCCAGCCCACACATCCCTGTTTCGCCATACATCTGTTCCCCCTTCTACTCACCCACTCCCTTCGTCCCATCCATCTGCCCACCTTCCCATCTGTCCATCCATCCTCCATCCACAAAGTAATTTATGCCACAGACATTTATGGAGTCTTCTCCGGTTCCAGGCACGGTGCTAGGAGCCCCAGAATGAATGGGGGACATGAATCCTGTCCCTAGAAACTTCTCAGCATGGTGGTGGATGGGTGGGAGGGGCCAGTGCCAAGGCATTTCAAGAAGAAAGAAGTTTCCTTCCCACAAGGGTGGCGGTGATGGGACGACCTGCCCAAGGCCAGTCGTCTCTGGGTCATTCAGCTGAAAATGGCATCCCTGGGCTAAGGGGCTCTCCAGGTCACCTTCCAGTAGGGCATCCTGTCTGAGAGTTATCCAGCCTCTGCGATAAGGAGTTGCCACTGTGAGTGGCCCTGGGGAAACTGAGGCAGCACAGACCTGGCTGGGGCCTCAGCACAGACCCGGCTTCCTTCTCCCTCTCGCAGGCTCCACCGTGTACACTTGCATGCTCAACCACCGTGGGGGCACCGAGAGTGACCTGACTGTCAGCCGCCTGGCACCCAGCCACCAGGCCTCCCCGCTGGCCCCCGCCTTTGAAGGTATGGGATGCCTCTGTGTGCGTGGCGCTGTGACTGCGGCCTGCTCTGTGGACTGATGGCTGTGGACAGGGCGGGATGGACAGGATGAGCTGCTGACGGCAGCTCTGTTGTTAGCTGTTGTGCCCACTGTGGTCAGGGATGGGAGATTAGAGGTCTCGTTTCAGGCTAAATGCGGGCTTTGTTCAGGCGGCACTGCTGGAGCTCCCAGTACTCAATGATTGCATCTCTGAACCTGTCCACACTGCTGCGTTTCGGAGTGGCTGCAGCGTGGGCGTGCTCAGCTCGGTTGCCCGGAACAGAGCGTGCCAATGCTGGGCCGTGCCTCCCACTCCAAGCGGTCGGCTCCTTTCTGCCACTGACATCCTTGCTGGGTTGACTTCTCAGGCCCGTGTGACCCCCTAGTCTGGGGCTTGGATAGGCCCTTAGAAGATGTCCGGTTCAGGGCCCACGCCAATGCCTGATTGCCCTCTGCAGTCACTGCATGTCTGCTTGCATGCCCTCCGTGATGGGTAGCTCAGTACCCTCATGCCTTGTTTGCTCAGCCCTGACTGTCACCCAGAGCCAGGACCTGCCTCCTGTCCCTTCGGCTTCCTGATCCTGCCCTGGGTTTACACGGGAGCCATCTGATCTCTCGTCCTGGAACCCATCCCCACCAGGGATGAAGAAGCAGAGAGGGAAACATTCTCTTTCTCCAAGAAGGGGCATTGTTGCCTCTGGGACGGGATTTGCACAGGGGAAGGTGCTGACTGTGCAGCTCTCTGTGCTGTGTCCGGGGCAGGGGCGCAGTCAGTGGGGAGGGCTCAGCCTGTTCAGAAAAGCTGGCATCTCCTGGTTCTTGATCTGACTGTGCTGCTGGCAAATGTAGTTGTTTCCTCACTGGGACTTGGTCAGTGTCGAGCCCCAGCTTGGGCACTGGGGGGGAGAGGCAAGGGGAGAAAGGGGTTCATTCATGATCAGCTCATAACCCGCTCCTTCAGCAGCATTGCTTGAGCACCGACTGTGGGTCAGGCTCGGTTTGAGGCAGGGAGAACCCAGCAATGAACCAAGCACAGAAGGTTATGGCCCATGTGGAGTTTCTATCTCTGGTGGGAGGAAACAGGATTTTTTAAAAATAGAATAAGTGGAAGGTGTAGGATGTAAGATGGGTCAAGAGGAAAAATGATAGACCAGAGCGGGTGGGGTACTGGGGGCCAGGGTGGGAAGACTGCGTTCCTCACTGCCCAGGGGGTCTTTGAGGCTGGGGGCTGGCGGGGACTCCTGGGCCTCTGGGGTTCTGCCAAAAGCAGGGAGTAGTGAGGTGGGCCCTGCGGTCCCGAGGCTAGTGGCAGAGATGAGGCTGCGAGTGTGAGCGAGGGGTCCTGTGGGGTGCGCAGAGCTCGCCCACCCCTTCCGTCTTGCTGTCGGTGACATGGAGGCTGAGAGAGCCATGTGCTGAGCCAGAGCACCTGTGCTTCATGGATCCGTGAGCTCATTCCTTCCCTCATTCTCTCAACAGTCCTTGCGGCGCCTGTACTGTGGAGCAGCACCAGGGCAGCCAGAGCTGGGAGGAGTTGAAGGAGGCCGGTGCGGCTTCAGGGACTCCATAGTGGGCTGTGTGTGCGGACGGGGACAGGAAGGGCTCCGTAACACCTGGAGGGGGATATGCAAGGGGATGGGAAAGAGCTATATGTTAGGGAAGGCCGTGCAATGGCGCTGAGCTTGGATGAGCAAGGCTTCCTGGAGGAGATGGCCAGCCTGAGCTTGGAAGGGTGGGTAGGAGCTGCTGGCTACAAGGGTGTGTTGGTGAGAACCAGTGTGACCTGCCCATCGCTGGTCCTCTCTGGGTCATTCAGCCAAAATGGCATCTCTGAGCTGAGAGGAGTGATGCCCGTAAGCAGCTGGGCATCAGCCCCCAGGAGAGGGGCGGCCCAGGCACAGCCCATAACCGCAGATTTAGCGAGTCTAGCTAAGGAGACAGTAGAGGGGCCAAAATGAGGTCACAGGTCACCAAAATCCTGGCCAGGCCCTGCCACTGCCTGGCTCAGTGAACTGCCTCCCTCAGCCTCAGTTTCCCCCGTCTGTGAAATGGAGTGAGGAAGACGCGCCTCCCGGAACTGCGATGGAGAATTGTGTCAGAGCCTGGGGGGTGCTGGGGGGGCTGGGGACCAGCCTCCCTGAGCCTCAGTTTCCCTTGGCTGGGGAATGAGGACCTTGCTCGTCCCCCCTCATAAGGGGAAGCTGTCAGGAAAGTGCTTTGAACGCTGAGCCATCTCCCGGTGGTGCACAATTAGCTTTCCAGAGGATTCTGGTGGATTCCTAGAGCTGAGGGCTGGGGATCAGCGGTGCTGGTTGCTGGGAAGGTTTGCACTTGGTGGGTGTGGAGGTAGCACAGTGAGTCACGTCCCCCAGGGCTCTGCGGGGCCTGGGAACACCACTCAACAGGAGAAAACCACCGTGTGGGTTTTGCTTTACTTTCAGGCTTCAAAACTGCACTGTTTGAATTATGAATATGCATGGGCATTAAATATGCACGTATTGAATACACGTGCTACCTACCCATGCTACATGAGATCACCATGAAGCCGAGAGAATGTGATGATTTACATGTGATCAAGGTGGCGTACAAAGCAGCTGTCAATCTTAAAAGTAATTTTAAATGATCTTTATTGATCTTTTTGTAAGATTACAAAAGGATACATGCTCCTGGGAACCATTCCAACGATACTGAAAAGCACAAAATCAGGTGCACAGCCCACAGCTCCCCCAACACCCAGGGCCAATGGCGCAAGTCCCCCGGCCACCCTGCTTTCTCGCTGTTCTCTGCCGTGTCAGCTTTGCAGGCCAGGCCTGGACCTGGGCTGACTGACCACTGGCCTCAGGACTGGCGTTTTGTTTTCAGGGAAGTTGATCAGGGATGGTCAGGGCCATAGGAGGCCAGGCCCATCAACTGCCATCTCCCTGGGCGCCAATTGGCCTCAGTAGCTCCCATGCCCTCCTGGGAGAGGCTTGGGATAGCTGCAGACTGGTAGGGCCACCCAGGAGCCAGGGACCTAAGAGTGGCTGTGTGTGTGTGTGTGTGTGTGTGTTGAGGGAGGTGAGGTGGGGTGTCTGTCTGGCATAGGGCTGAGGATGCTGTCCAGAAACGGCCCCAGCCCAGGGGTCGGGGAACCCCTTGAGGACTGGCTTGTCTTTGCCTTCATTCTCTGTTGTGCTCATGGTGTCAAGAGGAGGAAGGGAGGGAGCAGCCTGGCTGGGGCCTGCCCGGGGCCCTGAGAGGTCTCTCATCCAAGGGGTGCTCCCAATAGCTCTGTGGGGCCAGATGTTGTGGGTCTACCCCTTTTACAGATGAGAAAATGGGGGCTCAGAGAGGTGAGAAGTGAGGCCGGAGAGCCACAGAACTGCATCTGGGCCAGGCTGGCCTAGGCCTGTGTGTTCCCAAGACACCGTCCTCCCAGGGTGGGGGCATCCCTCTGAGGTGTCTGCAGAGGGCTGGGTGGTAGGGGTTGAGAAGCAGGTCCTTCTCCTAACCCTCATGGCTCAGAGGATACTCTGTGCAGGGCGTGGCCCTGGGGGACCAAGGGAGGGACAGATACGGTCCCTGGGCACTGTGAAGGCACAGGCCCCTGAGAGTGCATCTGTTTTCTCAGCCGGGAGACCCTTGGGCCACCCACTCTGTCCCCACCTCCCAGGCCCTGAAATCCTGCTCTAAGTCCAGGTGCCTCTCTTCCAGGGGACGGTTACTACCTGGCCGTGGGCGGGGCCGTGGCCCAGCACAACTGGTCCCACATCACCACCGTGCTGCAGGACCAGAAGTTCCAGTGCCAGCTCATCGACAGCTCCGAGGACCTGGGCATGGTCAGCATCCAGGGCCCAGCCAGGTGAGACAGGACCGGGAGCCCGCCCCTGGGCACACCTGCTCCCTGGACCCAGGTCCTCCAAGAGGCCCTTGGGCAGAACCGCTTCTCCAGAATGGGCCATTCTGAATAGTGAAGCGCTCTGGTAAACCAGAGATGCCGTTCTGAATAGATATCTTGAAAGCACTGGAATGCAGATAAGCCCGTACCATGAGTCAGACTGAGACAACATGAGACAACTTTGTAGTTGTTCAGTCACTGAGGACCCCAGGATCCCAGAGGGGAGAACAGTCTCTGCATCACCCATGCAGTCTAGGAATTATCGTCCACCATCCCAGAGTGGGCAGAACCAGGCCAGGGTTCGCCCTGCTTACCTGGTAATTTCTGTGTGCCACCTGGATCACATGGGCAGAGTAATATCCTACACCGAGGGGTCCCTGGCTCCTCCAGAAACACCTGCCATGACAAAGTCTCTGCATGGCTTATCCATGCATGCATTCCTTCTATAAACACCTGCCAGGCTGTGTTCCCCACCCATGAGAAACCAAGACCCGGGAAGACCCTCGGCTGCTGGCTCATGCACACAGCCACAGAAGAGTCTTAGGCAAAAGGACAGCTGAACAGGTGTGCACCTTGGACAAACCCCTCTGACTGTGCTTCAGAGGCTGGGAGAAGGGACTGGGGGTGGGGGACAGAGGGAAAGGGCAGTCATGTTAGCAGCCACTCGTGGAGCAACCTGTGACTTGCCAAGCCTGAGCCAACATCTCCCATCCCCATAGTAGCCCTTTGAGGTGGTCATAATTGTTCTGATTTTTACTGATCCAGAAACTGAGAAACAGAGAGGTAGAGACGTTTGCCCAAGGTCACACAGCTGGTCAGTGCCAGGGCTGATGGGGAAGCGTCCCGCTTTGTGCTCAGAAGCCTGCACACGCTCATTGCCAACCTTTTTCAAGAGTTACAAACCCTCTGTGAGGAAACAGCCTAGTCTAGGCCTTCCATTGGTGACCCCCCGGGATAAGGGGCCAGGACACTCATCTCAGTGTGCTTCCTGCCACCACGTCTGCCTTAGGGCTGGACAGGGTGGCTCTGCTGGACTGGGCAGGAGGAAGAGGCACAAGATGAGGGCACTGCTTCTGGGTACATGGAGGGTGTCAAAGGGGTGATCTAGCTCTGGAAAATGATGGGGGCAGCTTTGGGGACAGGACGGGAAAGGAGAGATGGAGAGGTGGGGAGGGGTGGGGGGAGATGCGTCTCCAGCCTGCAGGTCGCCGAGGTGAGCACTTTGACGTAGTGGCGCTGTGTCCGGGTGATATCCTGTCAGCCTGGGATTCTGCCGAGACCTCTGGCTGGAGTGCCCAGACCCTGCCACAGGGTCCGTTTCCCGTGGCACCTCTCCCTGAGTCCTGGGCCGTCGCTCCCCTCTCGGGCTGCGAGGGACTGAGTTGTTGCTGTCTGTCCAAGTGTACGCACTGTGGTGCTCAGAGGCACGCGGCAGACGCGTGCTTGCTGAATGAAGGGATAGAATCGGAGAGGGTCGAGTGCTTTAACATTAACTGGCTTCTGCCAAGGGTTTGACTTGAGGCTGCTCATAGAAAGCAACATGCGTTAAGGAGATGTTGGGAAGAACCCTGCACGAAAGGAGTGACCCAGCCTTGGTGTTCTGGGGGAACTGCTCCTGGCAGTGGCAACAGCAGGTACAAAGGCCCCGTGGCAGGCCAGTACGTTTGTCTGAGGCACACATGGAGGCTGGGATGGAGCAGGCCAAGAGCCGTGCTCAGAGGGCAGCACGGTGAGATCCTGGAGGCCCAGTGGCTGCTCCTCTGAGGGAGGGGTGCTGAGCAGAGGAGGAATGTGGTTGGGCTTGGGCTTTGGTGGGGGGTCTCTGCTGTTGGGCCAGTGGGCAGGGGACCAGCAGGCCTGTGAGGAGCCCCAGGCCAGGCGAGGAGGCAGGGATGTCCAGGAGGGAGTGATGAGCTGAGTTCGTACGGCTCACGGGCGAGGGTTTGGCATTGCGGTGGTTCCCATGGACTGGGTGAAGCTCGTAGCACCCGACGGTGGATGGGGTGTGCTGAGAGGGTCGGGGGGAGGGGAGGGGACAGAGACAGCTTCCGCGTGCATGATGAGGAGTGGAGGGTGCCGGCCACAGCGACAGGGAAAGAGACTGGGATGCGGTAGAATCATGCAGGCCCCAGCCTGGCCCACAGGCAGCTGCAATGCTGTGTGCTTTCAATTTCTTACCTGAGTGACCCCAACCTCTGCATCTCTGGGGTGGAGGGAGGGGTGTCAAGGCCTGGTCCTCAGAATCCTCCGGCTTCATTGCCACGCCAACCTTGGACAGGAAGTGGGGATATTTTTAGTGTCGAGGAGGCAGGTGGGCCGTGGAGGGAGGAGGTGGCAGATGGACAGATCAAGGTGCGGCCGGGGGCGGCCAGTGCGCCCAGCCTCATTATCAGCTACTCCAGCCGGCGGCGGGGGAGGCAGCCAGGGCGGGAAGAGGAGCTCGCTGCCTCCTGGTAATTTCTTAACTTTCTTCTCCAAAATGTCCTCTATCTTTCAAAAATAACCCAAAGTTTCTTAGATGAATAATAATACTGGTGCTGCTGATGAAGGCTGTACTTTCAGACTTGTTATTCAGGACGTGCTCAGCACACCTGCTGGACCCTGGACCAGGCTGTGTGAGCGGCTGCCCCATGGAACTTTCTGGAAATGTTCCATAACTGAGCTGTCCAACATGCAGCCACTAAGCCCTGTGTGGCTACTGAGCCTTTGAAATGTGGCTAGTGGGACTGCATTTTTTTTTTTTTGAAACGGAGTCTCGCTCTGTTGCCGAGGTTGGAGTTCAGTGGCGCCATCTCGGCTCACTGCAAGCTCCGCCTCTGGGGTTCGCGCCATTCTCTTGCCTCAGCCTCCCGAGTAGCTGGGACTACAGGCACCCGCCACCGCACCTGGCTAATTTTTTGTATTTTTAGTAGAGACGGGGTTTCACTGTAGTCTTGATCTCCTGACCTCGTGATCCACCCGCTTCAGCCTCCCAAAGTGCTGGGATTACAGGCGTGAGTCACCGTGCCCGGCCGGGACTGCATTTTTAATACTAGTGAATGTAAACTCAAATAGCCTCATGTGCTGGTGGAGGCTGGGCACGGTGGCTCATGCCTGCAACCCCAGCACTTCAGGAGGCCGAGGTGGTAAGACCACTGGAGTCCTGGAGTTTGAGACCAGCCTGAACAACATAGCAAGATCCTGTCTCTAAAAAAACAAAAACTTTTTTTTTCAATTAGCTGGGCATGGTGGTGCACACCTGTAGTCGCAGCTACTTGGGAGCCCAAGGCTGGAGGATTACTTGAGCCCAAGGAGGTCAAGGCTGCAGCAAGCTGTGATTGTGCCTCTGCATGCCAGCCTGGGTGACAGTGTGACCTTGTCTCAAGCCGAAATGAAACGAAACAAACCAAAACCAATATTCTTGCATGACTGGGAGAGACGGTGTCGTGCAGCCCAGAACTGGCCATCACTGTGGTCATGGTTAACACCACGGGCTTTGTGTGTACTTTCTTGCTGGTTCCTCACAATGGCCCGCGGCATCACAGATGAGGAACTGGGGCTTGGTAGGGGTGAGGGGTAAGTACAGGGCCTGTGACTAGAACCGGGGCCTCTGACTGGGAAGCTTATGGACCCCTGGAGTTGGGCTTCCCCTGAGGTTGCTGAGCCCACGCCTGGGTCAGAGCCCTTGAAAGCCTTGGACCAGGTGGCAGCTCCAGGCTCCTGCCCCAGGGTCCCTGCCGTGTGGCTGCCACTCAGGGCTGCAGAGAGCATGTGCTTGTCAGATCTGAGGCGCTGGTATCACTCTCCAGGACTTGGCACCACGTGGGTGCTGGGTGGTTACATAAGGGTCTTGGCCAACTGCACCACAGCCGAGCACCTCAGGCTGACGTGGGTGGCGGCTCCCAGCACTGTGACGATTGGAATTAGGGTCAGCAGCGCTTCTGGGCAGCTCACCCTGCAGGCTCAACACCTGCTGGGACCCCAGAGGGACAGAAGCGGGAGCATCTCCTGGCAATGGAGGCCTCACCCTGCTGTGCCAAGCCAGGGTGTTCAGTCAGTCCTATTTACTGAGAGCCTTCTCTGTGCCAGGCACATTGGGATGGGGGGATTCTGTTGGCACAGAGCTCCTGGGGGTGGGTACAACCAATGTGAGAGACACCCTGGCAGGAGACTGTGGGACCTTGGACAACGAGTACCTGACCAAGACCTAGGGAGTCAGGGAGGGCTTCCTGGAGGAGGTGACAGCTGAGCCAAGAGCTGAAGGATGACGAAGGGTTAAGTGGGGACAGGGGAAGGGGTGAGAATGTGGAGGGGCACAAGAGGGCTAGACCTGGAGGTGGGCTCGGTGCCCAGGAGGTGAGGGCTTCCTTGGAGACCATGGGTTGTGGCCCCAGTGAGGTCTCCGGTAATTGGGCAAGTGTGAGAGTAGATGTGGTGCTGGGAACCGCGGAGTGGGGAAGGTGGGGAGCGAACCCCCGCCCTCACAGAGCTTATAAACCGGGGGTGGACCCAGCAAGTCTGTGCAGAGTGTCGAGTATGGACTGAGTGTCCAGCGCTCAGGAACATTCCCGGGCCCTCGCCGCACTGTGGGCACTTGGGTGTGGCCCTGCCCTCGGTAGGTGACAGTCCCCCAGGAGGTTGAAATGGCTCTTAGCACCTGCTGGGTGCTAAGCCCAGCTCTCTACCTCTTCCAAGTCTGCAGCCTCAGCGTCTCACACCCATGTCAGGCAGAGGACTTCGGGGCCAAGGTGCCCGATTGGAGGGTTAGGTCAGGGAACAGAGCAGGGTGGTGTCTGGAAAGAGCACTTTCTGCAGGGGGCTGGGAGGAGGCCGGAATCTGCTCCAATCCGCTCTGCCTTGGGCAAGTTACTCTACTCTTTTTTTTTTTGTTTGAGGTGGAGTCTCGCTCTGTCGCCCAGGCTGGAGTGCAGTGACTGGATCTCAGCTCACTGCAAGCTCCGCCTCCCGGGTTTACGCCATTCTCCTGGCCCAGCCTCCCGAGTAGCTGGGACTACAGGCGCCCGCCACCTCGCCCGGCTAGTTTTTTTGTATTTTTTAGTAGAGACGGAGTTTCACCGTGTTAGCCAGGATGGTCTCGATCTCCTGACCTTGTAATCTGCTTGTCTCAGCCTCCCAAAGTGCTGGGATTACAGGCGTGAGCCACTGCACCCGGCCTTACTCTACTCTTCTGTGCAGCACTGAGGCCGCCATAGCCAGCTCCTCTCTCGGGCGGTGGCTACCGAAGCAGCAGCTGAGGCCCCTCCGGCCTCTGACGAGTTGGAAACCTAGAGGGGCCTGGGGATGTGGACTGTGGACCTGGCCCAGATGCTCTGTTCCTCCTGGCCTGTGGGCTTCAGGGGCATTCTGTGGTTAGATAACCATTCTGGCCTCAGTTCCCCATCTAAGAATCACGAGTCCCATCAGAGCCGTCTCCAAGTCTGCTTCCCCAGGGGTCCTGCTAGCCCCAGCGTTACTCCGCTGGAAGGTAGCTGTCTTGTGTATATTTGGAACATACATCTGTCTTGGTGTATTTTTATTAATCCATGTTTATTGTCGTCTGTCTCATGAGGACAGGGACTTGTCCCACTCATGGCAGGTCCCCGGGGCCTTTCCTGCCCAGGCCCCACCCCTGAGCACTTGCTGACCGAGCAACTTTGCTTTTGCCTGCAGCCGGGCCATTCTGCAGGAGGTGCTGGACGCAGACCTGAGCAACGAGGCCTTCCCGTTCTCCACCCACAAGCTGCTAAGAGCCGCCGGGCACCTGGTAGGTTCCAGCTGGCCACGTCCTCTGGGTCGTGGGTGGCAGCACAGTGTGAGGGGCATCCTGGGGGATCTGGGGGCTGGGGACTCTTGGGCAGGTTCCTCTACCTCCCTGGCCTCGGTCCCCAACTGTGAAGGGGGGCAGTGGGACCAGGCGGCCCTCCCACAGGCTGTTGGCAACTTGGAGAGGTCATGGGGATCAAAGTCACAGCGTCTTCCATCCAGCCCCAGTGCCTGGTGCGTGCCAGGGACTCAGTCCCAGGGAAGGTGACCTCAGCCTCACCGCCCGCATCACCACCTATTGTATCCCCTCCTGAAAGGCACAGGGCAGCCCTCCTGAGGCCGAGTGACCCCCTGGAAATGGGAGGACCGAGCTCTGCTGAGCAGTAGCCAGTTCCGGATGTCTCCATGTGGTAGCCTCCCAGCTGCCATTGTTGGCATGGGAGGAGGGGCTGCTGGGGTGGGAGCACAGCCAGTCCCCAAAGAGCACCCCACACATCGCCTGCCAGCTCTAGAAAGTCTCTCTCCTGGGGGCCAGGGCCCACCCCTTCTGAGATGGTGGTGGTGGTGTCCGGTGCCAGGACTCCATGCGACCTGGCCCCAGGCAGGAGGCTCCCTCAGAGACCAGGATCGGGGCCCAGGTTCTAGTTCTGGGCCAGCACGCCCCTCTTCTGGGCTTTGTTTCCTTGTTGGAAAACAGGCATCTTGGCATCTGCTTTGACTTCTCGAGGCTGAGATGAGGATGGTAAACACAGCAGCCCCTGTTTGCCGAGGGCTTCCTGTGTGCCAGACACTGTTCCGCGAGCATCACAGCACACTTCCCCATGGAATCCCCGCTGCAGCGCGGAAGGCTCTGTTACAGGGTCTCCCAACCTCAGCACGACTGACGTTGTGGAACAGACCCTCTCTGCTCTGGGGGCCCTCCTGTGTGACACAGGTGTGTGGCAGCCTCCCTGGCTGCCGCCCGCTAGGTCCCAGTGGCACCCACTGTTGTGACAGCCACAAGTGTGTTCAGACATGGGCAAAGGTCTGCTGGGGGCAAGATCACCCGTTGAGAACCTTGGTGCGTGACCACCCAGCTTGTTTGCAGGGGTGTAAGCCATGCAGTGGCAGCGGTGGCCGGGCCTCCAGAGCCCTCCAGCACTCCTGCTGCAGGAGATGTTGCCCTGTGTGACGCATGTTACCCAGGTGGAGCTCAGAGAGGCTGCTCAGGGTCACCCGGCTAAAGAAACCCAGAATCCCCCGATATGTGTCAGTGACCCGGATGTGGCCTTCAGGAGGGGGTGGGCGGGTGCACGGCCGCATTTGGAGGCAGCTCCCTGTCTCTCCTTCCTGTATGTTCGTCTGGGGTTTGGGTGGGGAAAATGCTAAGGAAGGTTGGGGAGGAGTGAGGTCCTGGCCTGCGGAGGGACTGGAGGTCCTGGGAGACAGAGCTGGGTTCCGTTAGCAGATAAACAACGTGGTGATGACTGTCAGGGAGGAGGCAGCCAGAGACCAGGGAGATCCCGGCGGCTCTGCTCTCACCTCCCCTCTCCAGAGGCTGCACAGGGGCAGGAAGCAGGGCTGGCTGTGTCTAGCTTGCTTCCTGCCTCTGGTGCAAAGCTGCCTGCTGGGACCAGAGAGGGTGGGCGCTCAGAGAGAGCAGCACAGCTGGATCCAGGCCACATGGCCTTCAGACGGCCCGACTCCAGCTCCAGCAGGCCGGCCACGGGGTCCACACGGCATCCAGCTTTGTCTGCAGCTGGGCTCTGGTTTGCAGAAGGGGAGGGGAGCCGTGGGTTCTCCCACCTTGCTGAGGCTTGGCATAGGTGCTGCCTCTGTATGGTTTGGCTACAGGAGTGGGAGACAACCAGGTGGGAACACGTCCCCTCCCATGTGAGGCCCAGCAGCCTCGCCCCCACCCGCGCGGCCATTCCAGCAAGCTGCTGGGACTTGTTCTCAGACAGGCGGCTCCAGCTGCCTCCCCTCCCCTGGGGCTGGTCCTTTCCTGGCCCTGGCGGCCTCCCCAAGCCTGGACCGTGGCTGCCTGGGTCCGCCTCCACCTGTGTGGCCCAGGAGCCAGGCCAGGCCAGGTGCTCGCTGAGCTGACACAAAGGCTCTGCTTCCAGGATGACGTCCCCTAGAGGAACAGGCCAGGCCAAACACAGCGTTGGGGGTGTAGGGAGTGCAGGGATGGTCACAGGGGCCGCTTCTCCCCACAGTCTCCTGCTCATTGGTGTAAAATAACTGGTGTTATACAAACACGTCAGGGCTGCATGAGATACTGCTCATTGCTCAGTTTCCAACCGTCACTGCACATAGGATTTAGCACAGAGGCTGAGTGCAGAGCTCGCTTCTAGCAAGCCCACTTTGGGCACGATCCTTGCCGCCTCAGAGCGAGGATGCTGGGTCTGTGGGCAGGTCTGGTGAGCTGCTGCACGAAGCTCATCTGGCTGGGACATGGTGGTCAGCGGCATCTCAGAGGACTGGTGGGGACATCCATAGCCTGCCAGCGAGTTAGCGAAAACCCCTCTAATCCCATCCCCAGAGAAACCAGGGTTGACAGTTGAGTGCGTTGCCTGCTATCTTCTTCCCGTCATCTGTGACTGTCTGTGGATTTTAAAACGTAATCAGGGCATCCCCTGCAGTCTGTACACACTGCTTTATTCTCCCGGATGTCGTGACTGTTTTCCTGTTCCTTTGAATGTTCCCCGAGAACCGCTTGGAACCCTCAGCTGCGTCTCCAGTGCCCTGGGCATGGATTTCACACTGGGCCCACCTCTTTGCTTTGGAAGTGGCCCCGGGAGGAACTTCCCTTAAACACCATCCTCCCAATAGACCCTGACTATTGGTCTGAGAGAGGGTAGAGCTGGACCCACTGGGTTGGAGGTGTCTGCGGTTCATGGTCCCGGCCTTCTGAGTCACTCTGTGGGGTGTTGTTCTTCGGTATTCTGCGCCGCTCGCTTGCCCAGTGCTACCCTAGGTCTCAGGCGGAGTGGAGAGAAGCACAATGCTTTCTAGGCCGGGGTCCCTGCCTGTGGGATGGGTGGGAGGGGAAACACAGGGGAGGCAGGACATGAGTGTCAGCTGGCGTGTGCGATCCTGGGGACACAGGAAACAGGCGGTGGGGGGGTGCTGCACGCGTAAGGAGGCTCAGCTGCCAGGAAACACGCCGTGCGCCAGCCATGGCGGTTATCCGTGGCGTACCTCCCAGCACCGTCAGCTCACGTTGGACCACTTGGGACTCTCAGTCAAGCATTAGTGTTTTTTTACTAAACAAGGATCCGTTCCCAGTGCTGTGCTTCTCGCCCTCTCCCTCACCAGTGCTTGAGGGGCTCTGGAGTGAACTCTGTACATGCTGTCTGGGAGCCCACTGGGTGCTGGACTGGGGTTCCAGGATGGAAGATGTGGCTCCTGCCCTCGATGGACTCAGATCCCGAGTGAGGTTGGGGCCCAGGAAGGGACCTGCAGCCACATTCCAGCCTGTACTGGAGAGAGGTCCTGGGCAGGGCGAGTGGTGACCACAGGCCAAGGGGTTCTCATGGAACCGAGAGTCCCACAAAGATGGCCGCAGAGAACTGAGTGTTGGCAGGAAACAGACAGGGTGGGGCAAGGCCCCGAGTGTCGAGTGTCTTGGCCTCTCGGCCGAGAACAAAGTGTGGCCCGTGTTGGGGAGCTCTGCCCTGGGACTGACCCCAGGGCCTGTGGACGAGCTGGCTGGGAGCCCATATCAGCTGCCCCTGCTCCACCCGCTCCCCACCAGCATTCTCCCCGTCTCTGTGGGCCCCATCCCGACACCTCCTGGCCCCCGTGGCAGGACCAGGGCAGCAGATGCCCCGGTGCTGAGGGCAGGCTTCCATCCCCCCACAGCCCCAGCCAGGAGCTCGTCCCTGCCGACAGCCAGTGCCCCAGGGCCACACTCCTTAGGAAGATGGATGACCTTAGTGCACACAGATTTACTGTCTCCTGGGCTGAGTGGCTGGTTCTGCGGGGTCACTCCCATGCTCATGTTCTTAGAGTCCACGGGGTCCGTCGGGGACAGGCTAGGGGTGAGCTGGGGCTGACCATCTTCACCTAGAGACCCTGATGCCCAGCACTGAGCACAGCCCCACTGGCTTCTCATCCATCTCCCTCGTCCTCCCAGCAGCTCTCTGGAATGGCCACTATGGGCCTGGCGGCCAGGTTTGCTTGTGTCTGGAGTGACCAGTGTGGGCCTGGTGGCCAGGTCTGCGTGTGCCTGGAGTGGCCAGTGTGGGCCTGGTGGCCAGGTCTGCGTGTGTCTGGAGGACGACTGCGGCCCTCAGGGGTTTGAAGTTGCTGGGTGGCCAGTAGGTCCAGCTCCCATGAGATGGGGCCGGGGACTCGAGGAGTAGGCACCGCCAAGGGTGAGGAGGACGGAGTGGCCAGGGATCCTGCCCTCAGTGACTTCTGCCTTCTCTTGAGGGCCCCGGGAAGGTGTGGGCCAGGAGAGCAGAGGTTTTGGGCCCTTACTGTCAATGTTACAGTTTTTGCTGACCTGGGAGGCTGTCCCTCAAAGTGGCCAGGGCCACACACTCCCAGGTGGCCCCAGCCTGGGACTCAGTGCCCTCCCCATTTCCTGGCCAGCAAGACAGATGGGGATACAGCCACTGGCCATGGCCAACTCCCCCTGTAGGGCGGCCTCACAGGTAGGTGTGAGATGGGAGTTGAGTCAGCCACAGATGCTGGGGGTGGTTTGGGACCAAAGCGTCCGTGTTACCCAAGGCTCCGTGGAGGTCAGGCCAGAAACCTGGCTTTCCATCCTGCCCCATCCGTCTGCGGTACACCTCTCTGGGCCTCAGTGTCCCCACCTGTAGCACAAAGTCTAGCACAATGTCTGAAATTCTTTCCGGGCCATTCCATAAGTCTGTCCAGACACTCTGGATTCTCTGAATCCAGGGAGAATTTAATATTCTCCTAAATAATATCTTGTGCTGGCTTAAAAATGTGTTGATGACATATCCCTCAACGTGAAGAAACGCTGGGCCGGAGCGTGGACCTGAGCCA